GTCCAACATAAAGTGCCAGTTGCACCAACAACGTAATAAATAGTTCAACATAAAATAAAATAAAAAGGTGCCAGTGATTGACCTCAATCCCTCCTATTCTTCCAATATCCTGATGAAAAATAAAATCTCTCTGTTGCATAGGCCACTGTTTGATCAACGCGAATTCGGTGTGGGTCCTTGTACTCCGAGTCGGGCTAACGTCCACGCTAGCTTCCACGCTAGCTGCTATATGTTTTGCATTGAGGTGATACTTGAGGCTTGATGTGCTGCGGTGATATGCGAATTCCTTTTTGCATAATTTGCAAACAACCGTGCTCTTATTGACGCTTCCATCCGTCCGTTTTTTAAAACAAAATGTCCCATCCACGGGGCCAACCAAAGCGGTCTCATCAGCTTCTTCGTTCGTTCCACTATTGTTCACTGTGGTTTGTTGTTGTCTGAAGTCATGAACGTTAGTTGGTGCTCCAGTATAATCGGTACCCCTGAAACTCATCCAGTGAGAAACGTTCCGCGGTACAAAAATAAGTGCGATTAAAATGCGTTAATTTTTTTAACGCGTTCATTTTTGTGTAATTAATTAATCTTAATTAACGCGTTAAAGTCCCGGCCCTAATATATATATATAAGCTTCTGCAGTGAGGTTCATGGCTGGTGAGGCACTGACTCTTCAGGTTTACAAATATAATATTTTGACCTAAATCAAAATATAATATTATTTTCAAAAGCTTTTTTTGTCTGATGCTTCGATTAATTTTAAACAGACAGTTCAACAAAAGGATACCCAAACAATTACATTTTATCATTTAAATATTGAATTGTTCTCTCTTAGTAAGATCCCATTTTCAATAAAATTGCGGTCTTACCTTGACTTGAAGATGAAGTCCATGCTATCCTTCTGGACAAAAATCTCTATTACTTTTTTGTAAAATTCCTCCTTATCTTCTTGTAGTTTCAAAAGTCTATCATAAATCTAATCAATAGATTTATGATTCATGTGGATATTATCCGGCTGAACAAAACGTGCATTTATCTAACAGGTACGTTTCCCACAGATCTTATTTTGAGCTATTTTCTAAAATCCTATGGAGAAATCTCATTGCTTTTTTGTGGAGGGAACCCATGCACAGCTTACTTCCTGGTTTTAGGACGCGTCACTGCAGCTCTCTGGTCTCCTCTTCACACACTACACTTTTCGCGGCACATGTACTTACAGCCAATCAGCTCGGAATTATGTGAGATGATGTATGGTGGGGATGGCAGCTCAGTGCCATGAGGGGCATGATCGGGTTTTGTCCCACATAGCTCTAAACAGCTCTATAGGCACACACTGTAGATACTAATTAGAAGAACACAGACTAAAACAGCAATGTACAGACGGATCAGATGATTAAACATCATCTTAAAATATATGAGACCTATCCTGGTTAAATAAAGGTAAAATAAATAAGTAAAAGATATTTTATATTTTTTTGTAATCATTATTTTTAATACTTTCTGCTGACACTAGGTGGGGCTGTGCCTGCCCCTAATGACCAGTCGCCACTGGCAGTAGTAACATCACTACTGAGTACAGATTATGTTTGTGTAAACACTGTATAAGAGATTCGTCTGTATTTAATCTGATGACAAGTGGTTGAACAGTATACAGTAGTAAGACAACACAGAGATACTTAATGGAAACTTCTATTTTTCTATTGTTCTTTCAATTCTTTAATATCAGCCATGTGTGCTATATTTAGTCTCAATATGGCTCTAGAACTTTATCCAGTGCAATTTAAAGCATTTTATGAAATAGTATGAATTTAGCCTTAATAACTTGCGTATTCATATTGTGTTAATGGGGCAGTAGATTATTACCTCTGTATACATTTTCTCCAAAAAAAACCTTTTACCTCAAAACAATGGGTCTTTGTGTGAATCTAACCATTTGAACCACTTCACTTTAAAACTTTATTATATCCTAAACTAACCAACATGTTACTGGCTGTAATAGTGGCAACATAATGTAAAGTCATTATAAGAACTAGGGATGCTCCGATCGATCGGTCACCGATCGAGATCGGCCGATCGATCTCGATCGGTCACCGATCGAGATCGGCCGATCGATCGGTGCTCTCTAAACATGCCGAGAGAGAGAGACTCATTTCTCCCGTGTTATTATCCAAAGTTAATGTAAACTTGAATAATTTAATTCATTTGAATGTAATAATTAAGTTGATTGTGTTGTTTGTGGAAGCTCCAGTGAATGAGCCCCATTAACTGAGTTTTAAACATCACTTTAAATGGAAAGTTGAAAAGTGCCTGAGCCTCAATCTATGCTCTAAAGGGGCTGTCATTTTTTCCCCAGGCGTCCAGGGCTGACCATTCACCCCCCTCCCCCCACGGTCAGCATTCAGAGGTCTCAGACATCCCGGGACAACGCCACGCGGATCACTCTGCCGTCCCACCCGGCCATTGGATCTCAAAAGCCTCAGCCTCCGCACATGATACAGGTTACTGCTTCTTGATGGCTGTCTGCCAAATATGAATATAAATAATGAAAAGTCATTCAAAACACTGACTGAACTAAAACGTTTTTGTTTCCTACAGAAGCCCATGTTCAGTCCTGTGACACCAGTAGCTGCAGCTACTGTGGCTCCAATAGTTGCCACTAACACTGTGCCATCAACAACCACAATAGGTATTTTATATATTAATTAATACCAGCTATAAAATGTTTTACAAGAAGAACACAATGAAACTTAAATCTGTGCAGTTATTCTTCCACATTTATTAAATAATATTGTCGTCCTCATTTTTTTTAGGCTGTGTTCCGCATTCACAAATGAACAGTAACACTATTGTCACCATGACGATGGCATCGCACTCCTCTCATGCTACAGCTGTGACCACCTCGGCCATCCCTGTTGGTAAGACGATTGTTTGGTGTGTAGCGCAGTGGGTTGTGCGTTGATGTTGGGATCAGGTTCAAACCCCACTGCAGTCAGCATGTCGTTGTGTCCCTGAGACACTTCACCCCAAATTGCTCCTGTGGTGATTGTCCACAGTATTGAGTATGTAAGTCGCTTTGGATAAAAGCGTCTAACAAGTGACATGTAATGTAATGTTTGGTGTCTTTGGATGGAACCCGGCTGTGTGCTTCACAGGCATTATCTTAATGTAAATAAATGAATCGGGTCTTAAACTCATCTTTCTGCTACCTATTCCAGCTAAAGTGGTCCCTCAGCCCATCGCCCACTCTTCATCTCGTGTGCAGCCCGACTACCCCGGAGACAGAGCCAACCTCATCCCCATCCCTGGCCATCGGCCATCTCCTAACCCCGTCACCATGGAGGCCAGAAGTGACATCAGGTGAGCACACAATGTTGAGCAATTGACACGGTTATACTAGGAAAAATAGACAACCATAACATGGTAGTAGACATCTGATATCCACTTGTTATGTTTGAAAACCTAATGTAAAAAAAAGCTGATTCGAGCCACCACCAGCGCTAGAGACGTTTATCCATTAAAAGAGCTCTTTCATCCTTTTTTTGCCATTTTTCTACTGCCATAAGCCACAAATTGTGCTTCTTTTAAGTATTTGGGTCTGGACCAACATGGTCAACCACTCCTCTGACGTTGCAATCCCTAGATCCACGCAGATAGAGCGGCTCGGGTAGGTGTGGACAGGAAGAGCACGTAATGGTGGAAAAAAAACCTAACCATACAACATTTTAGTTTGGAAATCAAACTAAGCAAAGATGACAAAAGGATATCAACAGATCATAACTTTGTTAAAGCGACATAGTGAGGGTTCCAATGACATATGCCCCTTTCACACCAACGCGGTTCCAGAGCCGGTTCAGAGCTAGAGCCTGAAAAGCACCGTTTTTTCCTGTTCACACCGCAGCGGAGCCGCCTCTCAGCTCCGGAATCCGGTTTGTTTCAAGTACCAAAAAGTTGTCGGTCTAGAAAGCAAGCACCGCATACGTCACGCTTACGGCAGGGGCAGGGGCAGGGGCATCAGTTTTAATGTTATACCATAGTAATTAATGCTGCAAAGCTTGGTATTTTGAGCTTGTTGTTTTCTCATTATAACTTCTGTATTTAAATATGTGGATTTAGACATATGGAGATTAGCTATAATGAGATTGTAAGTATTTAAGAGAAAAAATTAAATGTGACAAATATGCATTTACCTGAGTAATAGAGATACCTTATTCAGATGACGATGAATTCATTCTGCTTGTCTGAATCATTGTGTATGTTTACGTTGAAGGCCGCCTGTGCCCGTGCAGTTCCAGTATTTCCTACCGGCATACTCCTCTTCGTACCCTCTGGCACACACCTACACGCCCATCAGCAGCTCGGTTTCTACCATCCGCCAGTACCCTGGTAAGCTCTGCTAACAATGCTGTTCTACTGGTAACATACACTTTATTATTTGACTTGCCATTTACAAGCTTGAGCTGTAGCTAAGATGTTGACACAATATTTTGAACTCAGTACTTTAAATGTGGAATGTTTAACATAAGGGTTAAACATGTTATACAAACATCTCACACGACTTCCCCCTCTCAACATAGTTACCCCTCAAGTTCCTAGTTCAGCACTGCCTACCCAGGCTGGAGTAGGCGTGGCGACTACCGTCCATCTGAACCACATGCAGCTGATGGCAGTGGATCGCATCGGTCTCCCATCCGCACAAATCGGAACCCAAGGGATCCAGCCAGCACCAATCACTGCACAGGGCATTCAGCCTACACCTATAGGAGTCCAGGGCCTGCACACGTCCGCCCCCATCGGCACGCAGGGACTACAGCAGGGCCCCATGGTCACTCAGCAACAGCAAGCACAGTCTGAAGCAAAACCTGGTGATTACTAAACACACATAGTGGTGCAGGGATAAGTCCTAAACCACAGAATGAGTCAGGATTTTAGCACTCCTGGTTCGAATGTCTCAAAGTCAACAGTTAATTTTTACAAATTTTTAAATGTCAACATTAGCAGCCTTTAGCTTAGCGGAAGTCACATGACGTGAAGTGGACTTTGCATTTAAGCTTTAACAATGATAAAAGTGGTGTAAATATCTGCGGTTTATTTCGCTGATCAAAATGTGTAATTATACAGATGTTTGCCATGGAGCTTATTTTGGGAAATATTCCAAAATCCGATAGAAAATCCCATTGGCTTTTGTAGAGGGAGCACTTGCGATGCTAACTTCCGGGTCAGCCTACAACAATAGGTCATCACTGCACCTCTCTTTACTGCCTCAGTGAAACATCATGGTGTTGATGAGTGCTACAATTGAGATTTTGGCTGCATGTAACGCATGTTTGATTTTCTTCAGGGGTTGTTTTGGCCGATGGCTTTGTAGCCAGCCCCATCAGCAGCACATTCAGCTCCACCCAGCCAGTTGCCACCATGGTGCAGGCACACGCCCAGGCAGGGGTAGGAGGAGCCCCCACCCTGGTCTCCTCCCCAAGACCCAGCATCCTCCGCAAGAAGCCCGCTAATGAAGGGTGAGTTGAAGAACATTACATGAGACATGTTCAAATCCTAAACCTCTTAACTTTTATTCCCACAGTTTTGTCAGTGCTTATACACTGCATACATTTTTTTTGTCCATTTTGAATTCAGGCTCCATAATTGTTTGAAGTTAGATGCTTACAAATAATATGTCACATAATGCGTATCTCTTGCCTATTAGGGTTGCCAGAAACTGACCATGATCAAAATCGATTATTCGGCAGCCCTGGCGAATAATAATCGATTATTCGACCGACCCCCCCCCGCGCGGGAGAGAAAAAAAAATCAGACAAAAGGAATTCCGTTGTTTGTGTCATTTAACTTCCTTTGGACTTGTAAGTTCGAAGTAGTTCCACAAGGAGGAACTCTTTTTACCTGCCGCTTTGTTCATCTTTAGTCGCACGTGTGAGGGAGAGGGGGGGTGGGGGCGGGGTCGGTGTGTAGCGTGCTGCAGCAGTCTGCTCTGCACGCAGGCTTCCTCCAAGTTTACAGTAAAACAAACTGGTGGTGTGACCAATGGCAATTTACAATTATTAATACTATTACTATTATTAGCATTAGTCTATATTTTGGTTGAAACTAAGCCAGAAAAAAATTATAATAATAATAATAAAAACATATAAATAAAATCGATTTTTAAAAATAATATTCGATTATGGAGACTGTAACGAATATTCGAATAATCGAATGATCACTGGCATCCCTAGTAGCGGCTAATGTTAGCTGCAGCAGAGATGATACACCTGTGAGTCTGAATGTTCCACAGTATTGCAATACTACAAGTCAAAACTGCTCCACTGAAGGTTGCAGCTCCGCTCTGTGAGAGACTCAAAGACAACCTGATGAGACCGTCTCTGAGGTCAGTCAAGTCCTGAACAGTGAATATATGTTTCCATCAAATCAGAGAAACAAGTGCCACGATTTAATACGGTTAGACTGTTGGACTCTTCAGTTCAGCAGTCAATCAATAAATACAGTATTTACTCCAGTGGGCATGTGGTTTTTTATGGAAAGGAGGAAAAGAGGAAAGGAGGAAAGGAGGAAAGGAGGAAAGCCACAGGAGAGAATGAGGAACCTTAGTTCTGTGTTATTAGGATAAAATGCACAAAAAATATATTCTTGCCTGGACTCTGGATATTTCTCTCTCTGGTCTCAGCAGCAGTTTTTATATTGAGTTCATTTTCAGTAGTATGTCTTTGCTTGTCGCCGCTACACCCCGTGTGAAAGTATAACGTATGCTGTTTGAAGTGTATACAACCTGTAAGATTCTCCTGGTCTATAGGGCATTACACTATTGGCTGCTTTGGTGCAATGTGTCTCATTATTCTGCTGTACCATCTGTGTCTTATTGATTCCTCTTTGTCTTGTTCTGTAATGTTGTGAGTGTTACATCGGATCCACGACAGTTACACCGGGAAGTAGATTCAAGATTGAAGGCCTTTAATGTCATGTGTTCGTAGCTACAGTGTATGTATGACAATGAAAATCTGAGGCTCCTCCAACAGAGCAACACAATAACACAGATACATTAGAATAGAAGTAGTCCCATAGGAGTCTATACACAAGTGATAAATAAAGTGTAAGTATAAACGGTGGTCACACTCACCAGGAAGCCGCTGGGCGACCCCACGCTGAGCTCCGCCTCTTTCTGGGGGCTGAAGCTGCTGCTGTGCCCCGGAAACACAAACTGAGAGAGGACCTTCCCTCCCTCATCAGGCCCCAAAACCTCCACACAGCCCAGCAGGGGTCCCGTGCCCACCTGGCCCCCAACATCCACCACTTGACCCCCCAAATCCACCACTTGACCCCCAACATCCACCACCTGGACCCCCAAATCCACCACCTTGGAGGGGGAGGAGAGCAGCTCTGAGACGGGGACGACTTCCAGAGAGTTTGTGAGAGAGGTGAGGTTCCCCAGAGCCTCGGGGGAGACCGTCTGAACATCATCCAGGTTTAGAGTCACCTGAGGGGGCAGGACATCGCCCTCCAAACCGTGGTGCGGGGCCATTTCGGGGCCGGATGCCAGGATAAGAGGGTCCACGGTTTTGGGGATGACGGAGGAAGAGGAGACGGAGTCTATGGTGAGAATCCCAGCGCTGACCAGAGACAGATCCATGGAGAAAGTGCTGTTAGAGACTGAGCCGACGGGGATGCTCACTCCGAGAGCCGTGGGGGGGGCGGGGCCTCCGGGAACAGCTGAGAACAAAGAGCTGAGGTCCAGGTTGGTCAGCTGATCGCCTCCCGAAACACAGGGCCCGGCAACCGTTGCTGGGGCGGAGCTGATGAGCTCGCTGCTGGGGGTCAGAGAGGGCGTGGTCTCCATCTGACTCAGAATATCTGGAGGGGGGGGAGAGAGAGGAATGAGTCCTACAACCTGGGAATTAGTTAGCATTTAGCACTTCTGGAAGTTAACAGTTTTTTGTGTGTTAAGAAGCTGGAAAAAAGGTGTGTGTGTGTGTGTGTGTGTGTGTGTGTGTGTGTGTGTGTGTGTGTGTGTGTGTGTGTGTGTGTGTGTGTGTGTGTGTGTGTGTGTGTGTGTGTGTCTCTGTGTTACCTGGGCTCAGGTGGTGGTGTTTGATCATGTGACTCCTCATGGAGCTCCTGGAGCTGAAGTGTTTGCTGCAGTCTGGCAGCGGGCAGCGGCTCCTCAGAGCGCTGCCGCCCTCCTGCTTGTGTTTCTTAGAGTGGATGTAGAGGCTGCTGCGAGCCGAGAACTTAGCATTACAGCCTGAACACAGAGAGACATGGGTTACTGAACACAGAGAGACATGGGTTACTGAACACAGAGAGACATGGGTTACTGAACACAGAGAGNCCTCCACTGTGCTCTCAGCGCTGCCGGCAGCCATGGCTGTGACCCCCCCCGTCGCAGCTTCAATGGCCAACACTGTGGCCTCCCCCACCCAGCCTGCGGCCAGCAGCACTGCAGCCTGTGCTGCCAGCTCCACCTGCCCAGACCTAAAAATCAAGCAGGAGATGGAGAGCATGGACACCTCGCAGCCAGGTGAGCAGCGCACCAGTCTCCGGGGAATGTTTCTCATGGTCCTGTGTTTTTGTAACTGATAGTTTTTATTGAATATTTAAAAAATAATTATGTTATCACTCTGTTATTATACCTTTTTCAACTTACTTACTTTCAATATATTGTGCAAGTTTAGAAATACAAACTGTAAAATAAAAATGACACTACTACACAGGACAAGGACAAATGAACATGATTTCATAAAAAAATAAAACTTGGTAAGCACATCATTGATTTCTTTTTGATGACAGTGGAAAGGAGGTTATCCATTTTTGCATGCTAAAAATTGCATGAAATAAAAAAAATGAATTCCAGTAAAACTATAGGAAATCCACAAACATAACATGTTTATCTCTTCCTCTCAGATCCCAATGCAAACTTGTCATCAGCCCCTGGCCTCACCCAGGCCTCCTCCCTGAGTGCTCCTGCCTCCGCTGATCTGATCCCTGGAGCCTCCCCCAGGAAGAAGCCCCGCAAGCAGCAGCATGTCATCTCCACGGAGGAGAGCGAGATGGTGGAGACCAACAGCACCGACGAGGAGAAGGCTCCCGGCAGGCCCATCACCGGCCGGGCGGAGCGGCGCGAGTCTCCCCCCAGAGAATATGTCGGTATGTAACCCCATGATGACATCACTGATGAAAATGATGATGTGTTATCGGCTCTTGTTCAACACTCGTTTGTCTTGCAGATGAGGAAGGAGTGCGTTATGTTCCGGTGAAGCCCCGCCCTCCTGTCACTCTGCTGCGGCACTACAGGAACCCCTGGAAAGCTGCCTACCACCACTTCCAGAGGTACAGCGACATCCGGGTCAAAGGTCAGTAACTTCCTAGAAAAATGCTTGTGCTCTCGGTTTGTGCAAAGTCTTGAAAGTTCATTATAAACATATAAACTTTAAGAAGTTGTGTTTTTTAAAGTTAGGAATATTCAATACTTGATTCTCTTATCTTCACAATCACTCATGCAAAGGGGAAATCTTTCATATCTGAAATAAAACCATCTTGTCCTCATATTTGTTAGCTATGTACTTCTGATTGAAGGAAGAGGAGAAGAAGGCGATCTTTATTAATCCCCTTGAGGACATTCAGCCTTAAATCTGTTGTTGATATAGAGCAGGGGTCGGCAACCTTTTTGATATGAAGTGCCATTCAAAATAATGTCTTTTATCAGCGTGCCGACGATCGTGTATTATCAGCGGGGAAGCAGTGTGTGGACCTGTCAGCGCAACTTACATGATGCCGAATTTAACAAACAAATTTAAATAATTGGTTTAAACGGCATAATAATAAGGACGATTGTCCGTTCTGTGATTCTCCAGAACACACAGATGGCCAGTCCCCTTTGTAGCATGTTATTTTGATGAGAGATGAGCAGATTGCCGCTGGGCTTTCAACTAAAGACACAGCCACGCAAAAAACTGCAGCATTTGTACAGCTCCTTATGGGTACTGCAATTAGTGAAGTGCTTTCCTCCGTGGTGAAACGATCAGCACTGCACCACGGAGGAAAGCGGCAGAAAGTCACCTGAAGATAAAGAGAGCGGGGCTGCGTTGCGTGCATGGCTTCCTTCTGCAGGTAACGGGCAGACGCGTTCTGGTGTCTCGTTCAGGATCCGAAAATACAATTTAAATATTTTGCACACTTATTCCACTTATTCCTAGTGTGCCACTGGTTACGGTGCCGCGTGCCAATGCTGGCATGCGTGCCAGGGGTTGCCGACCCCTGATATAGAGTAACAGTTCAATGTGAAAAAATACACACTTTCTGTGGCTATAAAGGAACGCTCTTCACTTTGTTTTTTGGCAATTGCATTATTAGTGACACTTTTAGATATCATGATAAAGGCCTGGAGAGTCTGTGTGGTGCAGGTACGTGGACAATGACACAAGAACGGTTATATTTTCCTAATAAAAATATGTACACTTCATATCAACAATCCTTTTGCTCTTCTAACAGAAGAGAAGAAGGGCAGCCTGCAGGATATGGCCAACCAGAGAGGAGTGGCATGCCGAGCACAAGGCTGGAAAATCCACCTGTGTGCTGCACAGCTCAGGCAGCTGGTGAGTGCTGACCCCAGACCTGCAACAACAGAACACTACTGTGCTGTTGATCCCTCTGGAGACTAATGTCTTTCTTTCTCTCTGCAGTCGAGTTTGGAGCATGATGTGTACAGCCGCCTCTCCACGCTGCAGGAGGGCCTGATCCCCAAGAAGAGGGCGGGCTCTGATGATGACCTGCACCGGATCAACGAGCTCATACAGGTAGGGTTGTTCTTGCAGACATTTCTCTGCTCAGGTGTTTGCAGCCATTGCTCATCAACGGTATCTTTTATAAATTAAATGCGAACAAGTTTAGTTAACTAAGATCATTACCATTGTGAACTGGCCCTAACTAGACTGGAGATTATGTTGATTTAATCTTTTTCCTTTTCAAATTTCCACAATAATGCCCTCAGGTGGCAGCAAATAAGTTCATAATTGTTTTGTTTGACTGCACACGCATGGATTTATAGTTATTTTGATTATTTTTCATATTTCTACAATATAGATACACTGGTAGCAGCTGCGCGTTCTGCTCTCTCTTTTCTGAGAAAGCTAGTGGAAACATTCAGCTAATTATGGCATAATGAGGCTATGAGCGTCTGCGATAGTCATGGATGAAAAGTGAAACTGGAGAGGTGAGCACAGGCATACAACCACAAGGCGTTTAGTGTGTGTGTGTGTGTGTGTGTGTGTGTGTGTGTGTGTGTGTGTGTGTGTGTGTGTGTGTGTGTGTGTGTGTGTGTGTGTGTGTGTGTGTGTGTGTGTGTGTTCAGGGTAACATGCAGCGCTGTAAGCTGGTGATGGACCAGGTGACCGAGGCCAGAGACACCATGATGAAGGTTCTGGACCACAAGGAGAAAGTGCTGAAGCTGCTCAACAAGAACGGTGCGGCGAAGAAGTCCTCCAAACTGAAGCGCAAAGAGCGGGCGTAAGCTTGGACCCTCTCCTCTGTCCACAACCATCACCACCCCCCATCTCTGAAGGGGGGGTGCTAACAATTTGGTGCTATGATTTGCTGCATACAATCGCACGCAGCCTCCCGATCTGCCTGAGCAGACAGTGACAGGAGGGCGGGAGGAAGCAGACGAGCGCATCAACAACTGGTTCTCATTCAAGCTCCACACACATGTTGATTGGGAAGCATTGTAGGCTACATTAGAGTGGCCAACTGGTCCTTTTTTTATTTTGTTAAATATTGAAGACCCCCAGAGACCATTTTTACTAACCTAATTCCTGCCTCTCCTTTAAGACAATGTCAGAACTGTGTGTCTTTTAATATATGTCACTTAATGGAGTTGCGGTTAAAAACAAACAAATAAAAGTGATGTAAGTATTTCAGTTAGAGTGGACCAGCTGAGAGTTATTGAATGGGTCAAATCATTTGAAAAGGAGTCCTCTCATTAGCTGTGTATACAGACTAATCTCACACATGCTCTTTTCATTAAACTGTGCCTTCATTTAGTCAGTATCCTTAAACTAGAAGAAAATGTCAGCTCAATTTCACTGCTTCGCCTATTCTCTGAAAATAGGTTAGTTAATATACTGTGGGTAAACACATTTGAGATTTAAAAAGTACTAGATGTGGCAAATTGAATTGATTTAATGTCCAAAAAATGCTGTTATAGGATCAAAAGTGTCCTATTATGATTATCTGAATGCTAAAACACAATGCCAACTTAACTTCACATTTTAAACGGCCATGAATCATCTACTTTCACCAAACTAAGAAAAAACTATATTTTGATTTGGTGTCAGAGTGAAGTGCTTGAAAGAGAGTGAGTATCATATTGGTGGATTGAGTTTATGTAAATCACTGTAAATGTGCTTTTGGTTCTTCATTGACGTGCATCTTTTCAAATGTTGTACTGAATAAGCATTTTGTGCAGTGCGGCGTGTGCCGCTTCATTTTGTGTAACGATAATGACGTTATGAGATGAAGCACCCTGAAACATCCAGCTATTGTACATTGTTTTTGTCTGTGTAATTATAGTAAAGATACTTAAACAATATGGAAACAAGTGTTAAGTCTTTACCTGTTTTTAACCCCTGTTTATAAAAGTTGCTCTGATGTCAAAAATATTCTTGTCAAAAAACAGCCTTCAAATATTTTGTCTTAATATTATTTTCCACTTTTATAATTAAATCTTTTAACCATCTTCTGTCCTGATCATCACTACCAAATATTCATTGTTTTCCAGTTTGTTAAAAAAAAAGACCTCTGTTTTTTTTGTGAAGTATCTTTTCAATATGAAATGCCATGGGGCTCATGTGTTCACCTTGGGGGGGGGCTGTCATTGGTTAGCAGATGTGAAAAGCTGTGCAGTAATGGCAGTGGGATCGAATGTTTCAATGTGGACACTTTCCTCCTTCAGAGTGAGGGTATTTGGGCTGCACACTTTATTCTTAACGTATTATAGGAGCCAAGGATAAATTCCCAACATTTGAATGCTTTATGCATTCACATTTTTGCAAGAAACTATTTAAAAAGCCCAAAATATCCCCATTGAGACCAAGGGTTAATATTGTACATGTTAAAAAGAGTGGATAAACAGACCACACCTGAGGACCGTAAACCAGTGTTATCATGGGCATCTTGATGAGCATGCTCACCAACTGGTCTTCACATGTAATTATATTCTACAGTCATCACATATGAGGAAAGTACAGCATGACAAATATAGATTAGTTTGATAGTTTTGGGTGTTTATGAGACAATGGGCCTCCAACTTTTCCATAGAGAGCACACACTTAAGTTCAGGCTCTTTGATCCTTATGTCTCAATGGTTGTTTTTCATCTGTCATAGTCCTTGTGATTTGGTCTCTTTCTAGTCTTTTGTGGCACTTTGTTGTTTTAAGTTTGTTTCTTTTGAATCTCTTCCTGGATGGTATTTTCCTAATCAAGGCAAATCTGTATATTTAATGTCTGATTGGTAAATGCTGTCCCATGTGTTTGAGCAGAAGGTATGAGCTGTTTTATGACCACATCCTCCTATCTCCAGTGAGCCCAGTCATCCCTCTTTAATATCTGCTTTACAATGTAATTGCTGTGATAAACAGGAAGTGCATTGGCGGTATCTGGCCTGAGTTTCTGTATCAGGAAAAGTGACTTTACTGGCATTTGTGTAATCCACTCTACCCTTTTAGCAGGAGTTTTTGCACTGTCAACAAAATACACTTATGTCTGGTGTCAGTCATTTCAATATTTCTAAGACAATTAGCAAATCAATCCTTTTTGTCATGTCTATAACATTTTCTTTTTTAGAAAGATTCTTATTTTTTTTGCCATTTATTCAAAGACAGATATCGTGTTTATTTGGTTTATAGTAAATGGCATTACTACTGTAGCATAGTTTTTTTTTTTTCATTGTGAGTGCAGACATGAAATTATCCAGATTAAATAAGTGAAGGGGAAGGAACATTTTCTCTTCACGTTATCATCAGATATCTAGATACGAATGAAAGTACGGTGATAAAACCAATTGCTGAGGGTGCTCTGTGATGATACGAAGTGAGTCGGCTAGTTGGTGACACTGGTGGCTCTACCTTCTGCAGGTGCAAAGTCAAAAAGCCATAAAGAGGTGTATGCTGGGAAACTGCCTGCTTCCTGCTTCACAGTCATTCAAGGAACAGCTGTCCTCAGATCCGACACTTATTGTTTCGAACAAGGTAACACAGTTATGATATGTATTTATTTTGTACTTTTCCACTGTGATCTTTAGAGTCTTAAAATTATAGATCTATGGAAACCGAAAATTGCATTTAAATTGTGTATAATTGGGTTTTTCATGTTCAAGTGTCATGTCAAAAGGACAATCGGAGAACCCCCAAACTGCCTTCTAAAAATACAGTTTTTTTGCTATTGTATGTTATCTACGGCTAGTTGTCATACATAAGTTGAGGCACACTGTTATAGCTTACTGAGATGTTCTTGGGTTACTGTCTCTGGGCTGAATCTTAATAAAGAAGATGACATTTTCACATTCCTTTGCAGTCTTATCCAGGGTTTGCTATGCTGCATTTGAGTAAGGTAAGAACAAGTATCTTTGTAATATTTATACATGATCCTAAAATTACTCAGACATTTTGATAATAGTCTGTCAGCACCAAAATAATTGTTTGTTGCACCAACTAGGGTGATTTTGTGTGGGTGGACTCCAGTATCGGGGTGCCGATTGGGGCGGAGGTGAAGGTGTCCGACACCGGACAGCTCCGGCTGATCGATGATGAGGGAAAGGTACAAAACCCACTTTTTTTCACTTCCAGAAAATTGAGTTCATGACTTATTATATAATGTGAACCCTTTTGTAACTTTCATATAGGAACACAAGGTGAGCAAGAAGACGGAGGGCACCGTGCGACCCATGCACCCCACCTCTGTGAAGGGTGTGGATGACATGATAAGGCTGGGGGACCTGCACGAGGCCGGCCTCCTCAGGAACCTCCTGGTGCGACACAAAGAAGGCACCATCTATGTAAGTTTCTGTTCCCTCTGCACCACCTAGTTTTATGATGTCCATAACCTGCTGTGAAATGCTTACTTGCTGTGATTGGCTCCTCTATTTCAGACTTCGGCCTGTGCTTTATCACAGTGCTGTTCGTCTCCATAGAGACAAATGAGCCTCTGTTGAAAGAGAACATCCCAGTGTTTCTGTTTCCACAAAGCTCAGCAGTGTGTGTTCAGTTATGAATCATTGTGTTGAATAAAAATACTATTGCTAAATCCTGGGGGCAAAATGTACAAAGGCTTTCATCTCTTTGTGTTATAACCCGCGGCGCTTAACACAGCGTTCATGATTTGAATCCGTCCATGAAATTGTTAGATCATATTTAGAACATGCAGATGATGCATTGCGGCCATGACCAAACAAGAGTCCCTGGGGTGCCTGGGGTCCCTGGCTTAATGCTGTGCCTACAACACAGTAACTTGTTTATGCTCATGTACACAAATATATTCCTCCACTGTGTCTAAATTAACCCCCCTCTGTTTTAAGACATACACAGGCTCCATTCTGGTGGCAGTCAATCCTTACCAGCTGCTGCCCATCTACACCACGGAGCAAGTGCACATGTACACAGACCGCCGGCTGGGTGAACTGCCACCGCACGTCTTTGCCATCGCAGACAGCTGCTTCTTCAACATGCGCCGCAACAAGAAGAACCAGTGCTGCGTCATCAGGTGGGCTTCAGTCAGACGCTGGTCCTGATCACTAGTTCTGCTTCAAATCATCCATTCATCAAATAAGCCTTCATTTTTAGAAGGGAGACTCACTGAGAGCAGACTCTCTTTTGCAGTGCCCCGTTTACAATACACAAGAAGATAGTGTGAAAATGTATACTTACATAGTATAGACAACATTGTAAAGTGGCCCCATTTGTGAGTCAAATGATGTGGCTGCAATACAAATATGTATTATTACTGATTTCTAAGAGTAAACTGATTGTCTGACAGTTTATGGACCAAACAATTATTGGTTTTTAGAGAAAAGTTGTGGTGGAGGAATTGATGATACAAATACTCATGTTCACAGCCAACATTACCATGAGATACCATAGAAAAGCTACTGGAGACAAATACAGGATGGCAAGAGCCAAACAATCAAGCAAGACATTCACATTAAGATTAAAATGTCAAATGGGCAAAATTCAAATGTAAAATATTCATATTTAACTGTCATTGAAACTGTAATTGATAAACGTATTAATGGGAAATGTCCAAAAGTATTTTGAAGATTATTCCATTTGTAAGGTCCAAAGAAATGAAAGCTGATTTTCCGAGGGTACCATACATAGTAGGGATATGTAAGAGCACTGCATTGTAGGGTTATTAAGGCTCCTGAAGGCTGGATGGATGTGAAGATTCCTTCTTCATTTCAACAGGTAAAGCTTTAGTTGTTGGAGGCAACTTTTAAAGAATTGCAACCATGCCACCGAGCATAAAGTGCTTGCTCACGTGTGTCTGCATATACATTGATTCAACCATTAAAAGCATACAAAGGGGGGGGGGGGGGAACTTAAATTGATGTTGATAATTTTCAAACAATGTTGATAGGGGTTTAAAACAGACATTTCGCTTGGAAACAGTGAAAGGCATTTTAAAGACGGTAAATCATTTAAATATTGAATAATATTGTTGCCCCAGACTGAGGCCCTGAATAAGCCCTGTTCAATAGCTTCTTCATATTTCCTCTTTGCAATTCATTGCATCTTGTTTGTCGTTCATGTATTCATGTGTATTTTTAAGTACTTGATATGAATGAATCCTATTGTTTTTACTCTAAATATCATTATAAAGTAACATTTATTTTTCAAAAGCTACCTTTTTAAATAAATTTCCTCTGCATGTGTCACTCCTGTCTCCCCATCAGTGGAGAGTCAGGAGCAGGGAAGACGGAGAGCACCAAGCTCATGCTGCAGTTCCTGGCTGCAGTGAGCGGACAGCACTCCTGGATCGAGCAGCAGATCCTGGAAGCAAACCCCATCCTGGAGGGTACGGGCAAAAAGTCTGAAACTATAAAACAGTCTTCATAATCTGCTGTTTCGCTTAATCTGCTGTGTTGTTTTCTTCTCAGCCTTTGGTAATGCCAAAACCGTTCGTAACGATAACTCCAGTCGATTTGGAAAGTACATTGACATCAACTTCACCAAGGGGGGGGCCATTGAGGGGGCCCGCGTTGAGCAGTACCTTCTGGAGAAGTCGCGAGTTTGTCGTCAGGTGGAAAAATGTGTTATGAGCAGAATATTTGCAAGAGCAGTAAATTGGGACAGTTCAAATGTTCTTGTGATAAACATGTTGGTCCACATGCAGGCGCCGGAGGAGAGGAACTACCACATCTTTTACTACATGCTGATGGGAATGCCAGCCGAGCAGAAGAAGAATCTTTCCCTTGGGAGCGCTGCGGAGTACAACTATCTGACCATGGTACTGGAATACTTTGGCAAACTGTAAAATGTTTATATAATTGTGATGGATACTGAAGATACAAAAGAGCCAGTTAATCTCATATTACAAGATCAAGGTTCAAATCAATCAGTAATTAAGCTGTAAACCATGTGATCATATCCCCAGGGTAAATGCACCAGCTGTGAAGGACGTGATGATGTGAAGGAATACGCCCACTTCCGCTCAGCTCTGAAGATCCTCATGTTCACAGACAATGACTCCTGGGAAGTCTCCAGGTTGCTCGCTGCTATCCTTCACCTCGGCAATGTGGACTACGAGGGTAAAGACAGCACCATACGAGGGGATTAGCACACCAACAAACATACTGTATATAGTTGAATTTTTTAGCCATTACTTATATTTGTTTTGCATTCTTTCAGCCACCATAGTAAATAACCTAGAGGGCTGTGACATCCTCCAATCATCCCATTTCAAAATGGCCAGCCAACTTTTGGAGGTATGAATTTTACAAATCTTAACTAAGGTGCTGAGATGAACTGTTCTTACTGTGTTTGCCTCTTACCTCAGGTGGATCCCAAAGCGCTGGAGAAGAGTCTGACTCAGCGCTCCTTCATGACAGCCAAAGAGAGTGTGACCAAACCTCTGGCCTCGGCCCAGGCGGTGGACTGCAGGGACGCCTTCGTCAAGGTCACATCACTCTTGATCCATGATTTGCAGCAAATTCAGCTTATTTGAACAAAAACTAAACTAACCTTGTGATGATATAATGCTCATACACATCAGAGAACAAAAGAGAGATGATAAAACGGAGAAACTTTTTAATTCTGTACCACCCTTAGGCAACAATTTAAACCTAATGTAATGTGGCCGTTTGAGGACTTCTCAGACTTTACATGCAATATCAGTTATCTTCAGGTCTCTGAAAGTCCTTCAATGACAGAAGAGATCATGTCCTCATAGGTGCCTGTTAAATATGTGTTTGTTGGGTTTTTAAACCTTAAGCTTAGTAACTCAACATTACATTACATAGCATTTAGCTGAGGCTTCTATCCAAAGCGACTTACAATAAGTGCAATAAACCATAAAGATTCAAACTAAGGACAACAACATCTGTGCTGACATATTCACTTCAAACAAGCAACATCATTGTAAGTACTAATGCATAAGTAAAACTCTTAAGTGCGTTTTTTTATTCCAATTAGGAGCCAGTTACATGAACAAAAGCAAATGTCCTCAATTTGACTTGTTAATTCATTTACTAACCAATGTTAGCATCCTATTAACATTTAGTATTATTGAATAATGTTAACATGCTGTCACATACACTACTAGTCAAAAGTTTTTTATTTATTTAAATTTTTTCTACACTGTAGATTAATACTGAAGACATCAAAACAATAAAAGAACACATATGGAATTATCTAGTAAACAAAAAAGTGTTAAAAAAAATCCAGAATATGATTTATATTTTGCTGGCTACTGCAGAATGCTGTGGTAGCCATGTTGGTTAAGGCTGCCTTGAATTCTGAATAAATAACCAACAGTGTCACCAGCCAACACACCCCTGGTTTGCAGTTTCTGAGGCTGCTATCTGATGTATTTATCCTCTGCAGCAGAGGTGTCTCTTTATCTTCCTTTCCTGGGGGGGTCCTCATGAGAGCCAGTTTCATCATAGCGTTCGATGGTTTTTGCGACTGCACTTGAGGATAAATTCAAAGTTCTTGTCATTTTCCGGATCGACTGGCCTTCATTTCTTAAAGTCATGATGGACGGTCGTTTCTCTTTACTCAGTTGAGTGGTTCTTGCCATAATATGGATTACAACATTAGTCAAATAGGGCTTTCCACTGTGCACTAACCCTATCTCTGCACAACACAACTGATGGTTTCAAACACATTAAGAAGGCAAGTCATTCCACAAATGGACTCTTGACAAGGCACACGTGTTAATTCAAAACCATTCCAGGTTACACCTCATGAAGCTGACTGAGAGAAGCCAAGAGTGTGCAAAGCTGTCATCAAGGCAAAACGGGGCTACTTTGAAGAATATCAAATAAATAATATATTCTGGATTTTTGTACACTTTTTTGTTAACTAGATAATTCCATATGTGTTCTTTCATAGTTTTGATGTCTTCAGTATTAATCTACGAAGTACAAACAAATAAAAATAAACAAAAACCATTGAATGATAAGGTGTTCAAACTTTTGACTGCTGCTGTATATGTTGCATTATGTGAGGATTTATGCTAATGCTAAATTAATGCTTTTATGTACCTTTAGCAATCACGGCTAGTATTGTATTATCTGTTAGGGTACATGCTACACTAGCTAATATACATTTAGCATTGTAGCAACGTTCAGCATTAAATCACGTTAACATGATAAAGATACATGCTAATATATTGGAATGATTCTACTATACAATATGCAAACATTTTGACCAGCTTCTGAGCATGATTTTTAAATAGCCTACCCAAGTTTGGCCTCCTCTTTTCATGGCAAACCTGGCCAAGACAGCAGCATAAAAAGTCTGGCAACAAGTACTAAAAACAGATAAGCCAGAAATAAAGCTAAAATCCGGCTAAGAGCAGAGTCATTTACCATAGCCTGAAAGCAATAACATAGGAGTTTGAGTCAACATTTATGACATTTCGATATTTGTGTTGTTTTTTATTAAAGTGATTGGTGTTACGTAAAATACGTAGGTAACATATTCTCTATATTATTTGTCCAGGCTATTTATGGAAGACTTTTCCTTTGGGTTGTGGGCAAAATCAACGCTGCCGTTTACAAGCCAGCTGAGGATTCCAAAGAGGTCCGACAGTCGATAGGCCTGCTCGACATCTTCGGCTTTGAGAACTTCGCCAAAAACAGGTTCACAACAACTCCCATGTCATTAGAGTGAGGCTGCATTGTTGAGACAAATTGACTAAATTCCCCTCATCGTTCTTTCCTCTTGTGCTGTTTTTTGGACTGTTGGCAGCTTTGAGCAGCTGTGCATCAACTTTGCTAACGAGCAGTTGCAGCAGTTCTTCGTCAGGCACGTTTTCAAGCTGGAGCAGGACGAGTATTCCCGTGAAAACATTGTTTGGCAGCACATCCAATACCAAGACAACCAAAGCACCCTGGACGTGTTGGCCAACAAGTCTCTGAACATGATGGCGCTTATCGATGAGGAGAGTAACTTCCCCAAGGTCTGTATCCTCCTCGTACCTCATCAGATTTTAAAACAGAGCAAATCAGGTTTTACCTTTTAATTTGTTGTTATTTTTTAGGGCACAGATGCCACACTGCTCCAAAAGATGAATCAGGTCCATGGTAAAGGGGTCATCTATATTCCCCCCAAGAACAACTATGAGACACAGTTTGGAATCAAACATTTTGCTGGAGAAGTCTTCTATGATTCAAAAGGTACTTTTAGAGCTTTTAGAAGCAGCAAGTAATTCTAGTGCAAGTCCTATGTGATGTTTTTATTGTGTCTGTCTTGCTTTGAGGCTTTCTTGAGAAAAACCGGGACGCCCTCAGCTCTGATCTGATCCAGCTGGTTGAAACCTCCACCAACAAACTCCTCAAACAGGCCTTTCACGATGTGCTGTCTTCCAGTACCATCAAGAGGAGTGTGAACCCCAGGATGATCATCACCTCGGCCAGCAGCAGCCTCCGGGTCAGAGCAGCTTTGAGCTTCAGCAATAGATAAAGTAGTACATTAGTTGATGTAATTACCAACACTCTCTGACATTTGTTTGTGTCTGGCAGCAAACGAGTGATGGCAAGAAGCGTGTGCCGACCCTGACCGGCCAGTTCCGTCAGTCTCTGGATTCCCTGATGAAAACGCTGACTGTGTGCCAGCCATATTTCATACGTTGCATTAAACCCAACGACTTCAAGAGACCCATGGTGAGAAAAGAAGCTGCATTCACTCCAACCAAACCAACATATTTAATTATCTACCAACAGTGAATGAGATGTGCTTCCTTTGTCTCAGCTGTTCGACAGAGAGCTGTGCATGCGCCAGCTCCGTTACTCTGGTATGATGGAGACCATCAGGATCCGGAAAGCTGGATATCCCGTACGATACACATTCGAGGAGTTTTTAATTCGCTACCGTGTGCTTCTCAGAACTTCCCTCTGTGATCCCAAAAAAGTAAGTTGGAGGTTTGATCATTTTTATCACTTCCTTACACCTTTGTTTATCCTCTCTCTCTGGTTTGAATTATAGATATTTTTGCTCTCACAGGAAAGTAAACAGAAATGCTGTGAAAGCATTTGTGAATCTGTGCTGAGTGGAGAGGGCGACTGGAAGACTGGCAAGACCAAGATATTCCTCAAGGTGCTTATTGTACAATCTGTTGTTACTGATATATACAGTTGCAAGAAAAAGTGTGAACCCTTTGGAATTACCTGGATTTCTGCATAAGTTTGTCATAAAATGTGTTCTGATCTTCATCTAAGTCACAACAATAGACAAACACAGTCTGCTTAAACTAATACCACACAAACAATTATATGTTTTCATGTTTTTATTGAACACACCATGTAAACATTCACAGTGCAGGGTGGAAAAAGTATGTGAACCCCTAGGCTAAAGACTTATTCAAGAGCTAATTGGAGTCAGGAGTCAGGAGTCAGCCAACCTGGAGTCCAATCAATGAGACGAGATTGGAGGTGTTGGTTAAAGCTACCCTGCCCTATAAAAAATACACACCAGTTTTGAATTTGCTATTCTTAAGAAGCATTGCCAGATGTGAACCATGCCTCGCACAAAAGAGCTCTCAGAAGGGGGTAGTGCACAGTGAATCTCTCCCCCAGAAGTGTCAAAAGACAATTTGAATGTAGACAAAAGTAGAAGCTGCTAATAGACCGGTTGGGGACCACACAGGGCGGCCTCCTAGTGCCCCCCCCCGGCCGCTAGAGAGCCCAATCCGGAAGGTGAAGGTAAAGAACCGGTCCATCGCGAGACTTGCTGAGCCCGGACGCCGTGTCGCCCGGCCCGCCCCCGCAGCGCGAAGAAGACATCGTCTCACTTCACCGCTAGCCTGGACTCGGAACGTCGGACCGTTTCGCCGGCCTGGATCTCAACCTTTGCGTAACTTCCCCCTATAACGTACTAGGGGACCGTTAAAGGGGATAATTCATCTACATTAACACTTGTCTCTAGTGGTGAACATGTCCGAAGCCGGAAACCACAGGGAGCCGTACGAAGCTTATGTTCTCGTCGACGGAAAAAGGAGTCCATAAGGGCAGGAAATCTCCCTTACTCAGGTATCTGTCTGTACTCTACGTCAGTGTATTCGATTTTATATTTACAGTAAAGGTTGAAAAAAAGGGGTTTGGAGCATAGACATAGGAGAGTCCTGAAAGACCTAGTCTTTCACGGAGAAGGAGTAATTCAAAGAAAGTTACGGGGGAGGTCAAGGTCGGTATTCACAGTCCTTAGGCTTTCTTTTGTCATCGTGTCAAAAAAGTTAAGAAAAAACACACACCGTCTATCAAATAAAGATGTTTATTATAGATTATATGATTATAGCATTGATGATGCATATGAATATTATAGCCATATATCATATATATAATATATGTCATTATATATATATGCGATATGCTATCACTCTTATATTTATATTGTATCAAGGGCAACTTAATGTAACCTTTCTCTAAGGTTTGTCAAGTTGTATTCGATTATTGTTATTTTCCCGACTTGACACGCGCCCACTGTCATTCAAAACGCTATAAGCAGCTGACTTTATTTCGTTTTTCACCAAACAAGAGGTCCTATACTTATACACGTGAGTTACGGGTAGACGTAACACAAGGTCTGTAACGTGAATCATTGGTGTTTTTGTATCACAAAACTCGGCTTTGTAGAGGTCAGGAATCTACTAACCTATGTTTGTTGTAAATTCCTTCGGGTGTGGCTTCGATTTTCCATATTAACCGAAAGAGTTATTATATTTTATTTTTAGTAAACTTAACATTTCGACCTAATCAACCGACTTGAATAATGAATTTGTCATTGCTGTGTCGTTCGTATGTTTATTCAGTGTATTCCATACGTCGTAACCGTCTAAAAGTTATCCAAACGACGTAGTTTGGGTGAAGTGTCAGACGTTCTTTTTCATAACTTGGAAACCTTGATGGGACTAAAGCGGTATTGTAAACCAGTATTTTAGACAAGACTAGAAGTAGATTCAGGTGTTGTTATCTGTTTGGTGTCAGACGGATTCGATTTTGGTGTGTGTTGTTAATAATACAAAAATACAAAACTTGTGTCGGGTGCACATTTGTAAGTGTCCTGTCCCCACCTTTTTTCTACACTTGGGAACTAAACTATTGACCCGCCCCCCCCCCCACTGGGAGGAAACCAGTGCGTTTTAGTTGGAGTTGGTTTGCCAAGGATATCAACGGTTAGTCTGGACGTGTTGCAGTCGCTCCTTAAAAACCTGGTAAGGAGGAATGTTTTGACAGTCAAGTCGTATAAGAACCCTAAGAGCCAACTTTGGGCGGGAAACTCAGTACGGTGTGCGTACGAGTTAACCAACCCAAGCCTGAGAGACCGGTAAGGTCTTCGACATAAAAAGAGACCAACTTCGGTAAGCAACACTAAATGAGACACGAAAACCCAAACAACAGGCAACGATGGGTAGCGCGAGGCGCGCGCGAGGCGGTGTGAAGTAACACTGTCTACGGAAAATGAGGTGGTTACGACTATTAAGCACGTGAACTTAGCGCGGGCGCGCCCAGGCGCCATACGCGCGTTAAGACAGGTCGCGGGATCCGGTGTTGGCGTCGGCGGGTTGGTACTCGAGGGAGGTGGTATGAAGTGTAACCCTACTCAAAACTACAACCACACGACAGGAAAAAAACGAGTGTGTATCGGCACACACACGAAGGAAGGTTTGTTGAGTTGCAACCAAAGTAGACGGGTGTCTTGTAAAACGTCATCACTGTACGAAGACTTGGTAGTCACGAGAAAAGTTTGAAGTTGCGCCAGCCGTCGCTAGCGAAAGAAAGCCGTCGTCACCGAAGGAGGCACACAGGAGCGGTACCTTGAGGTAGAACAAGTCACAAAATGCATAGCATCTAAGCGTTGTCTCTACATGTACAGGTCTCTAAGAATTCAGGATCTCGCTGTGAGTCCAGAAGAGTGGAGTAAGCTCGTAGACGCCACGAGACACGTAGTAGAAATGTTCCTGCCGTTAGGATCCTTCATCGTTGTCAGCGGCCTTGAGAAGAGGTAATTCTGTTAAGGGAATGGTCACTGAACTAATTCGTCAGTTCCGAACAATCCTATGAAACCATTGGGAAAGAGGTCGAAATACGGTTGAGTTGTTAGTAATAGNTTTCTGCTGTTTTATACTATATTTGAGTTTGTTTGTCTGAACATCTTGTTTCTCTTAAGCATTAAGAACACTTAGGGCATGATGTAACAATAAAAAGGTTATATACAGTATAAAATACCACATACTGTACGCCCTCCCATGCCACCCTGGCATGACCTCTTGCCCCACCTTTGCCACCCCATGTAAAATGTTCTAGAACCGCCACTGAGCATATAATAAATATAAAATCAGAAAGTATTTATCAAACGCACACAGGCAGTTGTGTTTAGAACCAGTTTGACGGTAAAGGATGTATCCTGGTTTCATTTATCAGCCTCATTGCTGTGATGTCTGAGAGTAATTTACGTGGATGTAATAGTACGGCATAGTTTAGCAAATAAAAGTGATCGATCTCCCAGCTAGCGCTGTCTGTATAGTAGGCTATTTTGTAACGTAACGCCCCAAACAGCGCCCGTCTGTTAAACGCTATCGATTCAAACGGCAGCGCTTTATTAATATCTTGTTTCAAGCTCTCGTCCTTAGTAAAAACAAAACTAGTGGAAGGGGAAATGCTCCAAGGGGAAGCTGATCCACCTTCAGGTGCTGGGACAGCTCGGTCTCTCTGCAGCTGCGTGAGCCGCGGTCTGTGTGAACGCAGCTCCGCAGTTTAATGCAGGGCCGTAGCTGCGTTTTTAACGGGCCTAAGATGATATTTAAAATGATTCACTTTTAATTAATGTACTGCTTGTTTTGTTGCCTGAGAAGCTTGTGGACATAGTTTAGGTTTGTTTCTACAAATACAGTTTTAGGGACACTAAAGTTAGGGGGGCAGCTTCCCCCCCGTAGATCCGCCCCTGACTGGGACATGTCTCCATGCTTTAATGTTCAAAAAGCTATTTATTGTTCTCATACTGCCTGTGCTGCAGCACCTCTTTTCACCCTCTGTCTGAAACCAGAGCCCAGTCTGCTCTGATTGGTTAGCTGGCTGGCTCTGTTGTGATTGGTCAACCAATTATAGATTTTCCCACCCTTTAACCTATCACGTACAATTTGTTGGACCGCTAGCCAATAGAAGCACGAGTGTTTCGTGATGATGTCACTATGTTACGGAAGTAAACAAAGGAGTCCAACGGAGGAGTTTCAGGCAGGGGGGGGAAGAGGGATGATAGCCTTTGTTGTACATTTACATGCACAAAAACCTATATCACACTCTACAGGAAAGGGAAAACCCCAAAAAGCAGAATAGGGCCTCTTTAAAGTAAGGTCTTCTTCTGGCCTGTACTTTTATTGTGAGATATACATTGGCCTTCAGTAGCGGGCCGTGAATGTCATACCTTGGCCTTCAATAGTGTCCTACCTTAATCATCCACTTTTTAATACCATCATTATTACGTCGCTATAGAAACCATCAATATTATACAGAAAAGTAGTATAATAGGGCGTTGCATCACAGACAGGTATCTTATCATATGTAGCGAGAATGAATGCCATTACTAAAGCAAGAAACCAATAGCAGAACTGCATCAATATTTAAAATGACAAGAAAATATGAAAACATTTCAATTAAAGTCATGATAGTATACTCACCAATACGTTTTATTATTTGTACTCAAAATCCATCCTCCTTTCTTTCCTCAAGAAGAGTTCAATTACTCTGTTGGACAGATTATCTGAGCATTGACCTGATTGGTCAATGCAACAGTTTAATTTCCATTTGTTTTGACTCACAGCACTGTTGATTCTGAAGGCGTCAGTGCAGATCTATTTGACCTAGCAACACATTCTGACTTAAATTGGATTGGATAAAAGCTCCAACATTAACAACCATTACTGGACTCAGAGAAAGCTATAAAATTAAGAGAATAGACTATTGGAAATAATTTAATACATTATTCAGGGGTTCTGATAGTGTTTAGGCCAGCAGAGAAGGCCTTGCTGGCTCTGACGGCCCACCACTGATTGACTTGTTTCCCTACATTTCACTTCCACAGGAGGATGATTTGGTTCAGCTCACTGCAAAACATGTGTACATCCAGCATGGCTCTGAGAGCAGTGCAGAACATGTGAAGGAAGCTGTGCAGGACTGCATCAACAGCTCTCTGCTGGAGGCCAAGTCCGAGGCCAAGTGGGTGCAGATGGTCAGCTCTGCTCACGCTCAGGTCAGTCCCTCACAGCACCAGACACACAGTGAGCCTCGCAGCTCTGAGTAGATTTAAAGTTCCTGTCTGCTTTTCTCAACACCCTAGGGTCCTTATGTGAGTTCAAGACAGAAGGCGGACTCTGTGAAGGCGGAGATGGTGGACTACGCCCGGGAGAAGTGGCCCATGTTCTTCTCCCGCTTCTTCGAAGTTGTCAAGCTGTCAGGTAGGAATCATCTCGCTCTTGTTATTGTTGTTCGACAAGCAATGGATAATGTGCAGCCAGCCAGCCTAATAAATATCTTATTTTCTTATTATCACTTAAGGTGTTTCTTTTTTGCTTCTTTAGTGTTTACTTCCCGTCTCTCTTCTTCTGCTGATTTCTCTGTCCTCTAGCTCGCTGTGTCTTTTTCATTCCTCCTCTTGGGATGTTTTCCTGTTCTTCTTCTTCTATTCATTTTTTTAATATTCAAATAGTATCAGATGTAAAATAAGTGTTTTTTAGGCCACTGCTGAAGGTGTTCAATTTACTTATTTCTGCTTGAACGTTGATCAGAGCATCCGTATTCTGTATTGTAATGACTAATAACAGACTTTTTACTTCATTAATAAAGTAATATGAGTAATAATGTGTCATTGCCTGAAAGCATAGCACTTGCTATCTGTTTCTACCATTTTCAGGCATTATTATATTTTCACTTCAAGAAATGATTCCAAAGCATTTTCCAACCTGAATCCTGTGTGCCTCTTGGACAGCAGCACATGTGATCATTACTTTGACTGCTTCTGTTGATCCTCTAGTGTTCCGTCATTACACTGAACTTTGAACAAGAATAAGAGTTCAGCTTTATTTTAACCATACTTTATCAAAAACTCTATTTGTTGTTATCTACAAATTACCTTTATTAGTATGGGGTAAGACTTGCATTCAAAGCTTGTATCAAAAAAGTGTTGGTTTATTTCCTCCATAAAATGTTGAATATGAAAATGTGCAGCTACAGCACAGAGTAGCCTCTGTTCGTTCATTATTTTTATTTTTTTATACTGTTGATTGTCATTTTTGTATCTGTTTGTTCATTTATGACAAATAACAAGTAACAAAATAACTTTGCAGTGATACAAAAATTCAATTATGATTCTTCAGAAGGAATGTCACAAAGACACAAAGAGATTTGTATTTGTTCTTAGTTTTATGTTTTATTACAGTAGAACTCTAAAACAGTATAAGTTCCGCACTTTCCTCAGGACCAAGCCACAACACCTTTAATGATCAGCAGTGAAGCTGTTTACCCAGCATGCTCTGAGCAAATTAGCTGTTGCTGTGTTTTGTATCTATGTCAGACTGAAATATAAGAGGATATTAATAATAATAATAATAATAATAGTTACACTCCATCATTGGGGGTAAGACTCCAGCAAATCAGTGGATAAAGAAGGATTGTGAGTCAGGAAGAACATTTCATAGATTTCAGATGTTCTGCTTGTGAACAGTACTTTACACAACAATATATCCCAGCTGTCTTCACGATGAGCTCAGACTCACTGACAAGCTCATATTTATCTCCAAAAATCTAATTGCAAAATGCCACTAACATAAAATAAACTGTTAGACTTCCAAGACTCAATTCCTTAACATAACTCATCTAATGAAGTTTCCAGTTTACACCTGTTTGTTTCGGTCTTCACCATGTGGTGCCCCTGAAGCCATGACCTGTCAAATCTAATCACATTTTGTTTTTCCTCTCATCAACAAGAGCATTTCCATGTGGCCTGTCTTTTTTGTATAATTTGATTTGGCTGTAGGTATAGTTACATTACATTCAATATTTCAACATGACACCAAGAAATTAATTAGCACCAAAAAATACTTAAATGAGATAAAACCAAAGCCCTCAGGATTACAAAAGATCCCCATCACCCCTGCCACAAACTGTTCTGTCTGCTGCCGTCTGGCAGGCGGTACCGCAGCATCCGGACTAAAACCACCAGACTCAGGGACAGTTTCATCCCACAGGCCAGAAGACTGTTAAACACCTGGGGCCGTATTCACAAAGCATTTTATCTTACCGCTAGGAGTGCTCCTAACTCAGGTGTTTAACAGTCTTCTGGCCTGTGGGATGAAACTGTCCCTGAGTCTNAAGACCCCGAGATACTTGAACTCCTTCACTTGGGGTAAGGACTCATTCCCTACTTGGAGTGGACAGTCCATCGGTTTCCTGCTGAGAACCATGGCCTCAGATTTGGAGGTGCTGATCCTCATCCCAGCCGCTTCACACTCGGTTGCGAACCGATCCAGTGAGTGCTGAAGGTCGCAGACCGATGAAGCCATCAGAACCACATCATCTGCAAAAAGCAGTGGTGCAATCCTTAGTCCACCGAACTGCAGACCCCCTCCCCCACAACTACGCCTCGAAATCCGATCCATGTATATTACAAACAGGATTGGTGACAAAGCGCAGCCCTGGCGGAGGCCAACCCCTCACCTGAAATGGGTCCGACTTACTGCCGAGGACCCGGATACAGCTCTCGCTTTGGGAGTACAGAGATTGGATGGCCCTGAGTAGAGACCCCCTCACCCCATACTCCCGCAGCACCTCCCACAGTGACTCCCTGGGAACCCGGTCATACGCCTTCTCCAAGTCTACAAAACACATGTAGACTGGATGAGCGTACTCCCAGGCCCCCTCCAGAATCCTTGCGAGAGTAAAAAGCTGATCCGTCGTTCCACGACCAGGACGGAATCCGCATTTTTATGTTCATATAATAGTGATTTCAATGTCGCCCCAAAATTATCACTGGTTCCATCCTGGCCACCCCACTGAAAATGTCCTGGCTCCGCCACTGGCTCCTGGACGCTTAGGGAGTGAGAGTGTGTTGAAAATAGGGGTATGATATGGCTACAATGGGTGCTCTGTTTCGGTATTTTAAGCAAAAAAATTTTTTTGAATAGGTATGGCCCTACAATATATGTTTCCAATATAGCATAATAGGTCCACTTTAAGTACAATTCTGAGATACTAGTACTTTAGTAATTTTTTAATTTGTGCTACTTCTAACCGCTTCTAACCCATTAAAGTTCAGAGGTTAATTGTATACTTTTACTCCACTTAATTGATTTTAAACCTTTAGTTACTTTGCAGATTGGGATTAATGATATTAAATATAATCAACTCTTAGAAAAATTACACCTGCAGTAAAATCCACAAGCTACACAGCAGTATCAATATTTATACTCAAAACATGTGATATATATTATTCTGAAAGGGTCAATCTGCATAATGAGTACTTTTAGTTTTTGTACTTTAATTATATTTTGATTCAAATCTTTTTCTACTTTTACGTGAGTAACATTTGCTGTCTTTTACTTGTAACAGAGTATTCCTTCCCTGTGGTGTTTTTACTTTTACTTAATTACAAGATCTACCTACTTCTTCCACCTCTGTGAAATATTGACTTTGCTCTAGTCTGTCTCGCAGTCCGGGGGTGTGAGTGTAGCGAGCCACCAGAACACACTTGTTTATTTCATAGAGGAATTGGAGGCAAACACAAAAAAATACAGGTTATACCCTATATACTGTTTGTTGCATGTTCGAGAAAGAACATACGACTGAGTTAATATAGAGAAGGGACCGCTTTTGTGCCGTACAGCAAACAGCTGTTCTGGAGAAAAAATATAAACCTGGGCTCCCTTGAGCATGGTCTCCTGTCCTTGCAACTCTTTCAAGATTCAAAATTAAATGTGCACAGTAGCTACAGTGTAGATATGGCAATGAAAGCCTTGAGTCACAGGCTCCTCCAACAGTGCAACATGAATATATATAGGACATCAAATTAATAAAACAGATAAAATAGTGCACAAGAATGTAAATACAAATAAAATAGTGCAAGAAGAGTCTATATACAAGTAAATGGAATATAAGACATAATAAATGATGATAAATAATTAGCAAGATGCAAAATGAGAGATGAATGTTTATGGATGTTCTTCACAGAGTTTAGGTGTTTAATAGTCTTATTGCCTGTGGGATGTAACTGTCCCTGAGTCTGGTGGTTTTAGTCCGGATGCTGCGGTACTGCCTGCCAGACGGCAGCAGACAGAACAGTTTGTGGCTGGGGTGAAGGGGGTCTTTTATAATCCTGAGGGCCTTCTTCCTGAGCCGCTGGGAGTAAAGGTCCTCCATGGATGGCAGCTCCATCCTGGTGATGTTCTGTGCAGTTTTCACCACCCTCTGTAGAGTCTTACGATTGAGGGCGGTGCAGCTGCCGTACCAGGCCGTGATGCGGCCAGTCAGATGCTCTCTATGGTGCACCTGTAGGAGGTCAGGATCCTCTCTATTCGTCACAGGTAGAAGGTCAGGATGCTCTCTATGGTGCACCTGTAGGAGGTCAGGATGCTCTCTATGGTGCACCTGTAGGAGGTCAGGATGCTCTCTATGGTGCACCTGTAGAAGGTCAGGATCCTCTCTATGGTGCACCTGTAGGAGGTCAGGATGCTCTCTATGGTGCACCTGTAGAAGGTCAGGATCCTCTCTATGGTGCACCTGTAGAAGGTCAGGATGCTCTCTATGGTGCACCTGTAGAAGGTCAGGATGCTCTCTATTACCTCATTCACACCAACGGTGTTTCAGGGCCGGTTCGGAGCTGGAGCTTGAAAAGCACCAGGTTTTCCTATTCATACCGCAGCGGAGCAGCCTCTTAGCTCCGGAATCCGGTTCATTTCAAGCACCAAAAAATTGTCCGGCCAGAGCAAAAGCACCACATACTTCATGCTTACGTCGAGGCGGGGGCAGGGGCGGGATCAACTCCTGAACAACAAGAAAAAGCCCGCGTTTTATCCAGGTTGTCCACAACGATGGAGAAACTTAACAAGAGTTTCAGAGTTTCAGTGTTTCTGCTTTAGACTGTATAAATAAAGGTTTCTGCTCATGGTGAAGCAACGTGTCTGCGTGTTAAGGTGGAACCTGAGCATTCACGTTGATCACCTCATTATAAATTTATAAAACTATAAATATTAAAACTTTACTTACTACGTGTTCATTTGAGAACAGCTAAATTACTGATTACATACCTGGGTGAAGGTTACAGTTCATTTAAATGAAAGATACAA